TGAGGGGGGCGGGTTTTGGTGTGTATTTGCAGTCTACTCTGCCGCTGTGGCGCTGGGGAGCATGCAAAATTTATTTGCCATGGCTGTTGATGCCACTGACGCCGCGTGCGTCACGCAGCCAGACGCAACGGCGTCGCCTTCTGCTGCTGATGCTGCCACTGCTGCTTGTGTTATGCATTTACGGGGCGGGGCGGGGCGTGGCACCGGGTGGCTGTGCACTGGAATTGGCTGTTCCGTGTGGGGCGCAACTGCGGATCTGCATAACAGCAAATTGCAAGCTTCGGTCAAAAATTGGTAGCTTTGACAGCGAGCTGCCGCACCGTGCAACCTCATGAAATGGCAGAGGATTCATTTAAATAAGAGAGCACAAACTTTTCTATATGAATTTCATAATAATAATTGCCTAATGCATGTCCTTTAATCTTTAAAGTGCTTACACTTCTTAAAGCTTCTTTCGATTTACTAAACGCCTTGCTACAGTGTTGTAAAATATACGATTTAAGTGCTGGACAGTGCCTTTATTAGTGCTGCAAATCATTCAATTAAATGTTGTTAAATACATACTTTTAGTGTTGCACTGTGACTCTTTTCGTGCTGCAAATCCAGCATATGTTAAATAAACAGCTACTAGTTTACAATACTTTTCTCGAGCCAGTGTTTCAAAATGAAATTTCAGTTGTTGTAAAATGCAACTATTGCTAGCCGTGTCTAATGAATACAGTATTAATGCATACTCTTTAGATAAGCTTAAAATTAGATAAGTGCGCTTGCAATAAAAAAAGTCAAATATTTTATAAAACTTTTTTCGAGACAGTGTTGTATATTGAAATTATAAGTGTTTTAAATTGCAACTATCGCTGACATTGTCTTAACCAAAAGAATCACTTAAGGTAAGCTTACAAATAGATATCTCTGCGTTCTTCTGAATAGCGCCTATTTTTTGCAGTTTTTGCTAAGCTCTGGACTTTTAAGAAAATGCTACCCTAACGACATTTCGATACATTGATCGATACTTAGCTAGCTTCAGAACTTGAGCCATATTCTTTAGAAAAACGTAGCATGACCTTTACTGCCTCTGCCAAAACTTTTAAAAATCCCTCAAAAATAGCGCCTGTCGTCGCATTTGTTGCTATTGCGGCGCCTTTCATTCAGACATACCCACCCGCCCCTTTAGACCCCAAAAACCAGAGACCGGAGGCCACAGCTCAGTCAGCAATAGACACCGAAACAGAGAGCCAAATGGCAAGAGCCGGCCGAGCCACATGTTGAGGTTTGGAAAAATCGATTTTGGCCATTGCCAGTGGCGCTTGTTAGAGCAAAATATTGTTTCGATATTGTTGTTGTTCTCCATGTTGTTCTCTATGTTGTTATTGTTGTTGTTGTAGAGTGTTGTCTGCTTTTCGCCGGCGCCTTATCTCGGCATGCCGATAAAAATGTTGTTGTTTGTTTTCGTGTGTGTTTTTTTCCGCCCGTATATGCAAAAGCCACAAAAATAATAGAAATAAAAGGCAAAAAAAAAAAGCGATAGAATAGAAGTGGAAGCCAAATGAGAAAATGTTCAATGGGCCGCGGCACATTGGGCTGAAATTTGATGCGAAATGTTTTGGCATGAATATGACGATATTTTCCACCGCGGTTGCGCTTGTTGTTGCTGTGGGGAAATTCTTAAACATACTGAGAGATAAATGTTGTTGTGGCGGCCGCGCAAAGTATGCAACAAATTTGCTCTTCACGAGGCCAATGGGGTGTGTGTGCGTGTGTGTGTGTGTATATGTGTGCATCTCATTTGGCATTTGAGCTGTTGCTTCCGCCTGTGCTCAACGCACACACACACACACGCGCACATACACACACTTGACTTGACAGCGCAATTAGCACATGAAGCAGCATCTTCTCGTCATTTCAAGAGTTTTGGCCATGTTGCTCTTTGGCCCTTTGCTTTAGCCAAGCTTTAGTTGTGAGGTTCAGGCGCAGGCCAGGGCAACGCCGCTTGCCACTTGGCATCGTTTAAGCTTTTCCTTTTGCTGCGGGCGCTGCGAGCTGCGTACGTGCCTTGGAAAAGCAGCGTGTCTGTCGCCCAAAACGTGCTAACATGGGACACCTGCCGTACTGCCCTAGCCCCTAGAGAGGCTCTCTCTTACTTTCTCTATCTCTTTCCCTCTCTCTGCCTGCATCCTGCTGGTGATTAAGTGCACTTGGCCTGCGACGGATGCGCTAAAAAAAATATATACGCATGCAAAAGTTCAACACGCTTAACTGCACTTGCAGCGGGTTAAACGTTTTACAGGGCTTAAACAGACCCGAAGAGGTCCTACAAAATGGCGGATCAGCAAAAAATATATTTTTTTTTAATAGCTGCGAAGAGAAAATGCGCTGCAAGTGCATGCTAGGCTAAGTGCTGTAGAACTCGGTAGCTGCTTTGGCGGGCCAAATGATACAAGACTTGAGATTCGGAGATATTGACAAAAAATTTATTTTAATATTTTAAAATTAGACAAGTGTGCGCTTGTAAAAAACTTTTAATAGCAAATATATTACAACACTTTTCTCGAGCCAGTGCTTCAAATTGAAATTTTAAGTGTTATGAAATGGAACTATCGCTGCGATTTTCTTATGATCTGAATGAATCAATTTTTAATAGATTTGGTTTAGATTAGCTTAGGAAATAGAAAATATGTCTGCGCTTTTCTTAAACCGCTTTTATTTTTTTCCAGTTTAAAAACTTGGGTTTACTTTTAAGAAAATTATTTCGATACATTTATTAAAACTTCTCTGACTTTAAAATTTGAATTTCAGTTACCATCTAGTTGTTCGTGTTTCGTAATGCAAATATTTATATATATAAATATATGATCTGAAAATATGCGTCTCAAAACAATTGTATTGCTTAAATAACTTCTTTAATAATCTGTTTCACAAGCTTTTATATAAATTATTACGTACACGTTACGTCCTGCGCATTTTTTTAATAATTTAGAAAAATGTAGTTCGTACCTCAAAGCATATTAATATTAAATGATGTATTTTAACTTTATACTTATTTTGTTTCCGAACTTACACTTGGACTCAAAATGGACGTTAACCGTCTTGAAATTAATCTCTGAGGCGTTAAAACATCTTCTGTAATCATATTTTTACAATCTTTCATATGAATTGTTACGTAACACGCTACGTTACGCATATTTTCATTATAATTTAGTCGAACTTTAGAGCATATTATTTTATATCATATATTATAACTTTCTGTTTATTATCTTCTATCTTAGGTTTCATTATGCCTTAAAATATACGCAAACCGTCTCAAAAGAAATAATTGAGTCTGGAAAATATATTCTTTCCAATTTTTTTACTAGCTTTATCATAAATTAATACGTAACGCGCATTTCCTGAAAATAATAAAATAATATATTTTGAGATTATGCCTAACCGTTTCTTTTCCTTTCACAAAGCAAAAAATCATAACTCTTCCCCTGTTTCCAATTTCTAATGGCCACAAAAAAAGTGCTATCCATTTTTTGAACGTGAAAAAAGAAAACACATACTTATCACAACGTATAACAGTTGCAACGTCCTTGGCAACCGTTAGAAATGTAAATCAAATGGCGTCCACCCTTTGCGCGGACTGCATGAAATGTAATTCATATGACAGTCGCAAGTACGGAAAGTACTACTCGCTGCCTGATAACCTTAAGAGCCTCTTGCAAACTGCACTTCAACCCCCAAAAAACAAAAACAACAACAACAACAACCACGGTCGAAAACTTTATCACGAATATTCTGGCTCTGTGGTTCTGGCCATCCCCTGTAGCCTATCGGCAGAAGGGTGCGGGTACTGGGCTGAACTTTTGGGGTGAGCGAGCCTTCAGAGTTCGCCCCCAAAAAAGTGATTGAATAGACCAACTAAACCAATAGATGCGATAGGAATGTGTGCCTGCGCCTTGCAATCGCCCGCTGATAGGGGTGGCTAAAGTGGAGCCAATGCACGAGTATGTTGAGCATTCTCGCAGGTAATTATTATTATTAGAGATTGGGGTTGATTGAGTCTATGGGAAATATATATTGTGTTTGATAGCATTTGAAGACAACTCAATAATGTTTTAATAAAATAGGGAAATATACGAAATATTCACATATATATGCTATTAATTAAACGATAATAAAGAATTTTATCGAAGCCTAATGTTGATCGTCCGTTTAAAATATACATAAAATATATATAAATATACATTTCATCGATTTAATTTATCGAAAGCATTGTGATCGAAAAAGTAGTATAATTTTTTTTGGATATTTCGATAACAAATCAATTCATCGAAGCAAATCATATAAGCGAAGAGAGTATTCTGATTTAAAAGATCGAGAAAGTAGTCAATTTATGCAATTTATTTTTTTAAATTTAGCTAAAATTATGATATCGATTTAGCTTATCGATAACAATAAAAAAATGATGAGGGATGTAGTCTGATTCAAACTTAATAAGAAATACTAATATCCATTTAGTTTATTGATTATCAATCAATTGATCACAACATAATGTTGATCGAAAAATTTGTCTAATTTATATTAAAAAAAAAACATATGTATTTAATTTGTCGATAGTAAATATATTTATCGCAGTATTATGTCGAGCGAAAAAGGTAGTTCGGTTCAAATTTATCTACCTTGTATAACATTAACAAATCGACAAAACATGTTGTGATTGAAGGAAGTCTAATAAAGTTTATATAACCATATTTTATTTGATCGGAGAATCTAGTTTGATATAAATTTAATAAAAATATCGGACTAGTCAGACGCTTCTGATTTAAACATAATTTCAACTGGCTTTGTCGATAACATATACTTGAATACGAATAATCGATAACTTGTCTTTCGACCAAACTTCTCGAAAGCAATCTAGTTTGTTGTTATGATGTATGATAATGATAATTATGTCTTAGAGCCTTTTCCTTTCAAAAATCGATATTTATCGATTAATGGTAGCTTAATATCGTACTCACCCGAGCATGCATGGTGACGTCGTTATCTCCGGGCTGAACACCGGTACGTATCTTTTTATTCTGGGGTCCCTCGCTGACGACTATGGTGGCCCCGCCACCAGTAACACTGCTTCCTGCGACTGCTCCACCTACACCACCACTACCGTTGCTAGCACCGTTATAGGGCATTGTGGTCGCCGTGTTGAAGTTAAGCGAAGCCTCCGTCGTGCTGAATAGACTTTTTTTCGATAGAATCTTGACGTTTACTTTGGGCCGTAGCCTTTTTTTTTAGTATAAACTGCAGACTTTAGTTATTGGACACGGAATGATCCTTGCACTAGGCGCAGTTGCTGTTGTGTTTTTGGGTTTTGTGTGTGTCTGAGTGTGTGTTGGGTGTGTGAGTGTGTGATCGAGTGTGTGGTTTTTCTTTTGTTTTTGGTGTGTGGCACTCACTTGATAACGGAGAACGTAACACAGAATGCACCGGACACGAAAGACTCCACAAAAATTTTGGAGAGAGGGTTGACAAAAATGATTGCTAAAATGTTGATTTAAACGCGCACGATTTTCAAGCTCTTCTTAGACGAAGAAGAGTTGTGAATATTTCTTAGAGATTTATTTATCTTAATGTTTGATTTATTTTTCCTTTTCAACACTTGCTTCAACTTGAACTTTCAACCGCATTTGACGTTATCTTCTCTTTCTTTTCTATTGCACTTTCAATTTGCGTGTTGAACGAAATTTTTTATTTATCGCTTGCTTTTTTGTTGTTGTTATGTTTGTAGAATCAGCTGTAAATGGGAGGAAAGAGAAAAGAGGTTAGTAAAACAGGTGAATTAAAAATAAAAGAAAATAATCAACATACAATAATTGAGTGAAAATTCTCTATGCAAATTGCGGTGATCGTGGCGGGAAAAACTTTCTAATGCAAACGGAAATTAATTTAAGTATGCAGTAAATATTTATTCAATGCCAAATGAAATGCAAGCAGAATTTTGTACAGTGCACGCTCGTCAAATCAGAAAACTTGGCGTATTAAAATTATTAGTTTAAAGTCTTATATTTATAAAAAAAAAATGGTAATTTCAATTTCTGGAATTTACTTAAATAAAAAATCACTTGAAATTGGAATATTTTGATACAACAAAGAAAGACTCTTAAAATCTTATCAGAATTTGCATGTTTAAAATAAACTCTTATATAAAATGTTATATAAAGTTTCACATTACTTTTTGAAGCATGCAAATTCTATGGGATAAGTTGCTTATAAGACATGGCATGGCAATACATAATTGAACTAATTTGTGATATATAGGCTACTTTATCTTATTTCCTTTTATCACAAAAGTGGGCTCAATTAGACACTAAATTATCAACAATCATATCAATCATATCGATTGGCTTTCAATAGGCAAATTTTTGCTTATCACTAAAACAATAAAAATATGCCAGAAAGATATGGAAAATGCAGCTAGTTATGTAACATAAATAAAGTAGTTGAAAACATATGGAATATAAGTGGAAAAAACGCAATGCTAGATCAAGCAATTGGACAAAAAATAAATTAGTTGATATTTTATTTAATAAGCCAAAATTGGGCTTGGAAACAAAATGAAGGCAAGAAAATGTGAAACTTTCAATTTGAGATCTCTTTGATATAAAAAATAAGTTTTCATATATATTTAGGCGTAACGTTTACATGCCAATATAAATACATAAAAATATGTGCATATATTTTATGTGAAAGTCAAGAGAGTTTTCACTGCAAGTGAACAGAAATCAAAGCACACAGGCTATTTCAGCTTGTTTTAAACAATTTTACAAACGCAATTGGAAGCTTTTTATAATAAATAAAATATAGTCTGATTTATACTTATATATATTTATTCTTATAGCCTTTTTTGTATTCTTTTTTTTTTTTGGCAAATTATGATATGCTGCAACAATGGGAAATTCTTTCTAATTGGAGAGCCGAGCGCATAAATCAGAGGCATAAACCAGACAAAAATACAAAGCACGCACACAACACAGACTTCAATTGCAGAAACAACCCTCGTGAAGCTGTCGACATGAAGAAGCAGCAGCAGCAGCAGCCAAAAAGCGCCGGCAAAACAGCAACGTTTATAGAAAAGAAGAAGCAAGAAAAAAAAAAGAAATATGGCCGAAAATGTCAAAATGAATTCGAAGGATAACGGTAACAAGGCGAACGGACGGACTGACAAGTGACAGGCTAGAAGCAAAAGCAAAAGCCAAAAGCAACGGCGAATGTGCGGCGGAAAAGCGAAATGGAAACGAAATGAAAATGAAACACGGCCAGCGGACAACCTTTAACAGCGGAAAATCGCGTACAAGTAAACTTGAAAAAGTTGTTTCTTTGGCTGCGTTGCCAGCCAGTTGCTGCAACCCTTAAGGGGAAAAGTGGGAAAATAGAAAAGCTGTAGAATGAAGAACGAGCGTTTGCCGCTTGCCGTTGCCGCTGCTGTTGATTTCTGCTTTGTTTGTGGGGGCGCGCGTTGGCCCAAAATGCCGGGGGTTGATTTTTCATTAATGAAACAAAAAGCCGCGCGGCGCGCGCTGGAAAAGCGAATGAACTTTTTAAGCACAAGACAACAAGCACACACGCACGCAGTCCGTGCGCTTTTCACACTGTATTTTATTTAGCCTGATTGCTTTTTATTTCATTTTTGTTAATTTTTTAATTTTATTTGATTTTATTTTGTTGCATACCGCTCTTGAAAATGGCGGCGAATAACAACGACAACAAAAGGGCACACAAATTGTCTGCTTGCAAATTTAGTTGAAACTGTTGAATTTCTCAATTTGTTGGTTCACACTCAATAATACGGCTAGAATTTGTTTATTTTTTATTTTTGTTAGCTGCTCAGCACATAATTATAAAATTTTAAACTATATGCACATATTGTTTTTTTAAAGTTTTTTTTTAAGTTTTTTTTTGGTTGAGTCGTTGCGAAAGAAAAACCTGCACTCTGTGAATTTTAAACTGTCAATGGGCTCTGAGCATTTGCAATTGACAGTTCGCTAGACGGCGCCTACTTACATTTGGCTTTGGCAATTGACAACTGAATTTGCTCTCGCACACACGCACACATACATATGGCGTATGCGAAATGTAACTGCTTTTTTTATATAGATATTTTTTATTTTTTTGTTTAATTCTTTATTTTTGTTGTTGGGAGTTGTTGTGTGTAAGTAATTTTCATCCGTTATATTGAAGACTTCTGCTGTTGTACACTTCGGCGCCGCGCTGGCGAATGACGGTCAAATAAGAAATGAAAACCTGTGAGAGCGTTGAAACGTCAACGTCGGCTCTTTTGTCGTGTGCAGCAGCAGCGGCAGCGGCAGCAGCCAACACACGAGCGAGCGGCGGGCACACACACGAAGCGTCAACGCCGGCAGCGACGTTAGCAGCAAAAGAGAGCCCAACATACAAGCACGTCGCACAGGTAGCCGCTAGGCAGCAAAAGCTGCGGCAGCGGCAGCAGCAGCTGCACACGTTTTGATAGGGGTTGCAATGAGAGAGGAAAACAGTAAGAGCGAGAGCTAGAGCGAGAGGGAGTAAACGGTGGCCAGAGCGTAAACCTAGAGAGGACGTGGCGAACAGGCAGGCAGTCGCAAGAGTAAAAGTACCTTGTCCGTTTTTTTTTTATGCTGCCCTTTTTGTTTGGCTATTTCGTGGGTGGCAAAGCAGCACCTACCGGTTACGTTTTGTTGTTGCTGCTGCTGCTACTGGTGCGAAGCAAAACAGCAAAGCAAACGACGCGCTAAGAAAGCTACAAATTTGCAATACTTTTTGCAAACGCACAAAGCACACTTCACACACACGCAATTACACGTGTATATATACACGATAATGAACACAAATGAATATGTATACAATGCAATGTAATGCAAGTGCAGGCACAGCACAATGAAACGGTAAAATAACACTTTCACCCGTTAGGCGTCGGCTTTTCTGCTTACCTTGTTTTTGGCTTGTTTTCTTTATTTTTTTACTCCAAATTGTATTGCTGCTGCACTTCAATTAGAATTAATACGAAAATTGTTTTTATTATTTTATTTTTTGTTGTCTAAATTCGCATTAAAACGATTATTTTCTGTTGTTTTGTTACTGCTATCGCGTGCGTCTGTCCGCTTGCTGCTTACTTCTCAGCGGCCCTTTTTTAATACAACACAAACAAAACGAATGTGGCGGCCAGACAGAGACAGAGACAGAAACTGAGCAAAGGCAGTGACACAAATGACAGAGATAGTTGGCACTAAAAAGCAGCGAGAGTGTTGCGAGAACGAGAGCAGCAACAATCGAGTTTGAGAGTTTGTTATGTGTATATGTATGTGTGTGTCTGGTCTGTTTGTGTGCGAGTGTGTGTGTGTATATGTGACGTAGACGTCAATGCGGCGGGGCGAGAGAGCGAATACAGCGTACGCAATGGAAAAACTGGCGCGGCGACGACAACGACGACGCGCGGAAGTATTTAATTGAGCCCAAAAAACGTTTTTAATTTAAATTGATGGCTATATGCAAAATGCACAAACACACGCACGTTAGTATTTTCTACTGCGTTATTGCACAATACAACTATAACAATACACAAATTGCCGTCTCTCGTTGTTGCTATTTAGTTGGATTTGGTTTCGGGTGCGCTTTTCTGCTGCTACTGAAAGGTTTTCAACCGTGCGCCACAGTGTCTCAATTCGTACTGAGAAAATGAGCGGCGTGCTCAGCAGTAAGAAACCACATTTGCCACATAGTGTGTGAGCAGTCCGGCATGTGTTCGTGTAAACGAACGCTCTCTTACAAGCGTGCGCACCTCGCACAGTCAAACGAATAGAACAAGCACACAAACGCACGCTCGCAACGCAAGTGTGCTGTTGCCTGCTGTTGCTGAGAGCGTAACCAGAGCGCGCAAGTGAAATGTGCTCGCTCTCGCTCCCACTCTCCCACTCAGCGCTGTAATGAGCGCGCCGGAGCGTCGTTTTCAATGTACATAAATATACGTGTGTATGTATTTTTTGCTTGTATATGTGCGCGCTTTGCTCAATGCGTTGGATTTGTTGTTTGTGACTGGCAAAATCGCGCACAGTGGGCAAAGTCTGTCGAACATGTTGCATGTGTAGCTAAAACATATGTATTTTAACATTTAACTTGTCATGGTATATGTTATGTTATTATAACTTTTTTATTAACATTGTTAATCAATCTAAAGTTAAATAATTAAAGCATACATTCAAATTAAAGAAAAGTAATATATGTTGCTCATATTCAAATTAAGTTATAGGCTTCACATAAAATAACAAATATATTAAAATAATTTTTGTTTACGTAAATTTACTAACCGATAAGCACATTATCGATAAACCGACTGATTGTCAGTTCACACACTACATAGGCAGCTAAGAGCGCATGAATTTTGCTTTGCTCTTCAATGAACGTTTCTCTTACATTTACGCTCTCGTTCACCCACGCGCAACAACAACAAAAAGTGCGCTTGGGCAGCTCTCAACTCGTTGCATTTTCATGCATTCGCATTTAACAGTTCCCTCAGATTGTTTAACAGCACGCTGTTAAGCAACAGTTGAACAGCAGACACAGCACTGGGGCTGTTAACAATAACAGGCATGTTGGCATGTTAATTACATTTATCGTTATTTTGAATGAAGATAAATTTAAGATGATTTAAGATGATTATAATATGTTAAGGAAAATTAAACGAAAATGTGTTGGGAAAAATATTAAACGGGAAATCAAAAGGATATAGGTATTTATTTTACATAGACTTTTATTTGATAAAAATTTTAATGCTTTTGCTAGAAGAATTGCGAGTTTTTTCAATCGTTGACTGTGTCAGAGCACTGCATTAACGCTCCCCCAGCTGCTCTTATCAAATGTGCAACACTCAAAAAACAAAAAAAAAAACACAGTAAAATGGTAAAGGCACAAAAAAATGCAGCATACTTTTCTTCTTCTTCTTTTATATTAGATTTGCGATGTGGGTAGTAAGCGCGTGGGAGACTGCTGGATAACAATGGTAACCGGGGCAGTCAAATAGCAGGACATGTCCGTGGGTCTGCCTATCTCCCCCTCTTCTCCTGCGCTCTTAAGTCGCATATACACATGAATGCCGCTCGATGGCGATGGTTACGTGTTTTCCACTTCAATCCCCGCCGCTTGGCATTGGCATCCTTTCGCTCGTGCCTGTCCAGGGCTCAGGCGCTTTGCTTAATGCCAAAGTGCAGGACAGCAGCAGCAGCAGCAACAACAACAACAACAACAACAACAACAGCAGCAACTGCTGCAAGTCGCCTGGTAAACAACATAAACTATTTAGTCTATGTATGCGTGTGTTATGTGTGTGTCTGTGGGGGTGGGTGCTTCTCTGCATGCGTGGGCGTGGCCAAGCATTGGTAACAAGCGTGGGCTTCAACTAGCTTCTGGCCTATACCCTGCAGGCACAACCAACAATCGTGGGTGTATCTAGTCCATTTAAAGAACTGAGCAACAGGCTATTCGGGAAAAAAACCTGTGAAGTTTTCTTTAAACTCTCATAAATTTGCCACAAGTTAAGAGAATTTTAGACTTTAAGCAATATTTGTCAGGGTTTTACCTCTGGAGTCGGCATCTCAGTTTTCGGAGTATTCGTAAATAGATTTTTATTTTAATTTTACATATTATTGTAGAGATTTTCAGACTCAATGCAATTCTTGTTAAGGTTTTACTTCTGCTTCGACATTGAAGTTTTGGGAATATCCGTAAACAGATTTTTTTATAATTATTTTTATATTTTGTGATCAATTAAACATTTTCTATAATAATCAAATAATTTTGACTGAATCGCATACAACTAAACCAACTCCCAGTTAGTCCCTATAAAGTGATCACGAAATGTCTATAAGTTTAAGCTAATATACATTATATAAATATTTAATAATAATTATGTTTATTTAATATTAATAATAATATGTAATATATAAATTAAAATATATTGATTATTTTAAATAAAAACTTATTTTATTTGATTTAAAAAATCGTTTAATTTTAAATTCTGGAAAAATACTGAGTGGTATTTTCTTCGCAAAAGGAGAATTGAGCATTACTTATAGACCTCATGTAATTGAGCAGCGAATATAACTCTCGTCCGTCTAGTTAACATATTTATTTCTATATAATTCAAGGCCGAGACGATTTCATTAAATCTAAATCGAAATGGCTTAAACCAAACCCTCGCAGAAAATAAGCAATAACCTTTATATATAATAGCACCTATTTAATTTTTTAGGTATTTCAAAATGAATTTACGTCTAATATTCGTCGTTCTTTATGCGCATTTTATCGGACCAAGACATCATAAAAAAAAATCACGTACAGGATAATGCTTTAATTTATATCGTTTATGCTTTAGGCAAAACTCTTCTTACTCTTATTATAAATATGTATATATTTTGTCAAAGACTATTATCTGAGGCAATTTTAGGTTTAATTAAGGTGAATTACAGGGTATTCGCTATTATTTTAAGGGAAATTTTGGGGAAATAAAGGTGAAGTACAGGGTATTTTCTATTATTAGAAGAATTTTAGGATTAAGTACAGGGTATTCGCTATTATTTTAGGGGAAATTTTAAGGAAAAAGGATGCAGAAGAATTTTGAGTAAAATAAGCTGAAGTACGGGCTATTTTCTATTATTTTAGGGAATATTTTGGTTTAAATAAGGTTTTTTTTGTAAATGTTTAATTTATTAGATCAAAAATAGTATGATTTAAATGATGTGAAATATTGGGTATTTGCTTATATTTTAGGTTAATTTTTGGGTTAATCGAGGTAAAGTACAGAGTATTTGCTATTATTTTAGGGTACAGGGTATT